TGTTTCATGCTTCCTCAGCTTACTCATGATGGCTGGGGAAATCTGGGAATTGAAGTCACACATCTTAAAAGTTGCAAGGTTGAAGAAAACTTCTTTAGGCTGTTTTGACCAAAGTATTTCCATGAAAGTGGGAAGATGAAGTTATAATAGTCCAGCTAAAGAAACCAAAAGAACCCCTTGCTTCTAAAGGAAGGAAGGGAAGGAAGGGGGCAGGAAGGGTTAAATCAACATCCCTTACCAAGTGAGTTATGAAGCCAACTAAAAAGGTAATCCAAAAACCTGTGCATGCTTTCAAATTCTCCATCTTTGTTTACCATCAGAGAAGAAGATAAAGCAAACTAACCAATGGGAGCGGCAAGAGAAGAAAGGCTGGTATGGATGCCAGGAGATCTTGCAATTGGACTGCGTGAGAGGCAATTGGACTGTGTCAATTGAGAGGATATTTTCCAAAAGGGCTCTAGTAAGGTCTTATAATGACCTCAAGCTACAGTTCCATTGTCTCTAGGCTGGGGGGTGGGTGGGTGGAGAATGAAGAAGTAAACAAAGCATTGGCCCCACCCCTGATTATTACAAATATGATGTGGAAGCCGAATTGAAAAGCTGTGGTCGGCTGAGATCCTGAACAAATCAATTCCAGGGAGTTTGTATGCCATTTCTTGTCCTCAAAGTGGGACCTGAGCAAGCAAGTGACTTTGTGGCAAATTTGTGGCTAGAGGGCAAACTGGTAGCGGTTGCGGTGAAAGGTTCCACCCACCCGCCTGGATGCTTCTGCGCATGCGCAGAAGTGTCATGCGTGCAAGTGTGCACACGCATGAGCAAACCAGTAGCAAACTAAATTGAAAACCATTGCTGAACCAGACTACACAGTTTTTATGGGTCTTGCATGGGATATTGCTTCAAAGCTTATTCATTTCCAATCAGAGCTGACATTGGTTCCTCTATTTCCCTTGGCCCAAGTCTCTCATCTAGAAGGGCAAAGAAGTTTTCTGACAGTCTGCTCCTGGGCACCTGATTCCAACAGCACCCGGTCCAGGGAGTTTGAGGTCCTTCACCGCCCCACGTTCTTTTCTTTGTGCTAGTTAGTTCTAAACTTTGATGTCAATTCCAAAAGAGCCAGGAATTGAAACTGAAATCCAAAAGAGTCGGGGATGGAAACTGATCACAGTCTTGAATGAGAGAAATACGACCAACAACTGTGTCTGCAACAACATTTGATGGCTAATACCTTAATAACAGTGATTTGCTGTCTTGTTTTCATGGTTGTTGAACTTCTTTCATTGCTTTAAATCACATCACCATTTTGTTTTTTCCCCTTTAAAAAACAGAAGTCAGAAAATGATTATGGTGAAGGCGTCCCCAGTGGCCTCATATGCCAAAATGGACCAAATTATTTTTTTAAAAAAATAAATATTCTTTGAATACCATTTTCTAGGACTGAACAACCTTGGAGGGCAGTTGCTGTTTTGCCCATTCTTTATAAACGTATCAGAAGCATCTGGCTTCCTGAATTGGACTACGTGGCTCCTTGGACTGATTTATTCTTTACTGTCTCATTGGCCATATGTTTGGAGTCAGTATCCCTCTTGCTGGAGGCAAACAATGTGGCAGGCCGATTGACTTCATGCCAAGCTTGCTAATTTTCAACAGCAGCTGGCCGGTCATTCCTGTCCACAGAACATTGGACTTTAAGCCAGCAAGGCTATTCTTATGGTTGGATGCTACAGCTCCTCATCCTGTTTCATCTTTAAAACATTTCCAGCTCTTTCTTAAGCATGCTTTCCTAGGCCTTTACTTCTCTCTACTTGAGACCTAGACAAAAGCCTCACTGGCTTCCTTCTACCTACCAAATGACAACTGCAAGATTTAAATCCATTTTGCCAGCTTGCCTGGTCAGCTTCTTTCATTTCAGCCTTATAATAAACCTGGGAGGGAGGTTGGACTGAGAGAAAGGAGCCTCAACAATGAGTTCTATGGCTGAGAATGGGCTAGAACCTGGGTTTTCCACATGCTAGTTCAACATCAACTACTTCACCATTCCAGCTTTAAGTTTTATACGGGGATCATACTTTGCAAGTCCAATCGATTAACATCAAGAGAGCTTACATTCACATAATAATGGATCCAATCATTGTATTTTCTTCTTTATTTATTAGATTTTTATCCCATCTTTATTACTTTATAAGTAGCTCAAAAGACAGAAAACATACATAATATTCAGGGGTGAAATCCAGCAGGTCCTGGAGAAATGGTAGCGGAAATTTTGAGTAGTTCAGAGAACCGGCAAATACCACCTCTGGCTGCCCCCAGAGTGGGGTGGAAATGGAGATTTTGCAATATCCTTCCCCCAGGAGTAGGGAGGGAATGGAGATTTTGCAGTATCCTTCCCCTGGAGTGGGGTGGGAATGGAGATTTTGCAGTATCCTTCCCCTGCCACGCCCACCACGCCATGCCCACCAAGCCACACCACGCCCACCAAGCTATGCCCACAGAACCGGTAATAAAAAAATTTGGATTTCACCACTGATAATATTCCTTTCTCTTCCTGTTTTCTCTACAAGAAACAACCCTCAGGTTGTTGGGGTCAGGATGAGAGAGAAAGAGATTGGCCCAATAGTAAATGTCTGAGTCCCTAGGTTAGAAGGCTGAAGGTCTCTATTAGAAGACTTCTGGCCCATTATACACTAAGCCCATCCCCTGGGTTTTTTTTTTGGGGGGGGGTGTTTCTTGCTAGTTCTTACTGCCATGACCTGTCTTCCAGGAGTACTTCACCTGTATGTAGGAGAAGTAGGACCTTGATAATCTGTATTGCCTTTCTAAAAGGGACGCGGTGGCTCAGTGACTAAGATGCTGAGCTTGTCGAACGAAAGGTTGGCAGTTCAGCAGTTCGAATCCCTAGTGCCACGTAACTTACTTGTCCTAGCTTCTGCCAACCTAGCAGTTCGAAAGCATGTAAAAAATGCAAGTAGAAAAATAGGGACCACCTTTGGTGGGAAGGTAACAGCGTTCCGTGCGCCTTTGGCATTTACTCATGAAGGCCACATGACCACGGAGACGTCTTTGGACAGCACTAGGTCTTCGGCTTTGAAACGGAGATGAGCATCACTCCCTAGAGTCGGGAACGACTAGCACAAATGTACGAGGGGAACCTTTATTGCCTTTCTGGTGATAAAAATATGCAAAAAGTAATGGAAATAATTTAAAATAGTGCCTCTTCCTGTCTATATAGCAGGGAGGATTCAACTTTTCCTTCTTTAGAATATAAACTCAAAAGAGGAGTTAAGAGGAGTTGAGCTATCAGGAGCCTGGATAGCTCAACAGACTAAAAGCCTGTTATTAACATTCAGCTGTCTGCAATTATTGCATGTTCGAATCTCCCCAGGCTCAAGGTTGACTCAGCCTTCCATCCTTTCTAAGGTAGGTAAATTGAGGACCCAGTTGTGGAGGCAATAAGCTGACTTTGTATAAAATATACAAAAGTATGAAGGCTATTGCTTAACGCATTGTAAGCCACCCTGAGTCTCTGGAGAAGGGCGACATATAAATCTAATAAAAAAATAAAAGAGAGATTTTAAAAAAATACATTTTACTTTTTTTTTTTTTTAAAAAAAGATGAAATGTCTCCCCCTCCTTTTTTTTTTTTTAAAAAAAAATAAATATTAAAATACAAACATCAAGTATTGGAGAAAATAAAATTGGAGCTGCCCAGAGGATGAAGTAGGCCACTGCTGGGCTTTAGGGTTTAGTGACAATGATCTATAGGAGAAATGTTATGATATTTCAATAACTGTAGCTGACATCTTCAAAAGATAAAGGGGTCTGTTCTGCTGACCACTAGCAAGCAGGGACAGATTGGCTTCCTGTCTTTATAGCCAGGCTTCTTAACATCTTATTGGCCTTTAGTCAACATGCTGGTGAGGGTTAGTCTTGAAGTTTTGGGTTGTTTTTTTTTTTTTTAAACTCATATTGTTCCATAAAAAAATATTTTTTTTATCTTGGGAAATTGTTAGCTAGACCATGGTCATAATTTTCTCTTAAAAGTAAATGTAAAAGAATATAATGCACTGGACAAAAAGCAAGATGGTGCTGGACTCCTACAAATAGAGCAGGTCCTACCAGAATCTCAGAAGAGAAGTATTAGAAACTGCAAGGAGATTCTAGATAATATGGGCAAGCTAATACTTAGTGACTACCAAAGGCTCTGCCCTTGAGGAATCAAGGCTTCAGCATATCTTAGTGACTTTGTCACCAAAATGCTATGCCAATTGATCACAGAATAGGTCATGGGTTATTATGGGATATTTACCTGTGCAGTGCCAAAATGTTTGATATGGAGTGAAGATCATGGAATTGAATGAAATAGGATGGGTAACCTGGGGGATTCCAGGTGTGTGTGCATGTGTGTGTGTGTGTGTGTGTGTGTGTGTGTGTGTGTATGTGTGTATGTATGTTCTGGGATTATAACAATTAGAAATTGGCAATAACAAGAGAGATGCCAGTCGTGAAACTCTGTTTAATAATAATACTGGCATTCCAAAGCTTTATTTCCATGCATTATACTCTTTTTTTTTTTTTTTTAGAAAACTGGAACACTAATTTCATAAACTAATCATGCAGATGAACTGATAATAATGGGAGAAAGAATAGCTTAATCAAATGCAAATGGATTCCAGTGATGCTTAGGCAGAACAAGGGGAATCCATCATATACGTAGTCAAGATGAACTTATATCTCATTGATTTCAGTGAACTACTCTGGCCATAACTAAATATAGATCTAGCTTAGTGTTGATCAAATTATTTTCAAATTATTTTTCCTCATTACTCCTGGATGTCCTATAGGATAAAGGAAAGCTATATCCTTTAATATCTAGGTTTCTGTATACATCGGTCTATATTTGTATCTGTATCATCTATCATGAAACAGGTTGGGATAAAGATATGGGAAATGGCTATATTCTGTTTCCACACTTTTCATGACAGAAATGTTGTTGTCTTTCTCAGGGCTTTGGTTTGGATGGTACAGTCCAATTTCTCCACCTTTCTGTTTCCTGAAGCATTGTGGCAAGGTCAGTCCGATTGATGGGAGTTTCATCCTTTTTTTTTTTTAACAAAGCATGTGCAGAATGCATATACAACATGTTCTACATGCAAAGCTTGGCTTCTGTGTTTAAAAGGCTTTTCTATTGCTTTAATGGAGGGCTTCATTCAAAACTTTAGCAAAGAAACATACTTCTGAAAGATATTGCTGTGTTCCATGTCCATGTACCTCGTTTTCCCGAAAATAAGACCCTGTCTTATATTTTTTTGAACCCTGAAATAAGCGCTTGGCCTTATTGCCATGCACTCAAAAGCCCGACTGGGCTTATTATCAGGGGATGACTTGTTTTGGGAGAAACAGGGTACATAGCAGCTTTGTCCCAGGCCTTTCACAATGTAATCCTCAACCATATCCTTAGTTTTTCAGCTCTGCAATTCAATGGCAGTGGATTACTTGGACAGGAGAAACAAACTATTAAAGTAGCACTTGAATCTATCTTATTTGGCAATGAAGCTGCAATTGTTTTGTTTCAAGGTCAGTCAAAGGTAGCATTTTTAAGGGCTTTTCCTCGCTGCCTCCTCAAGCTACCAGACACCTATGTTTACACCTGCTGTAATGAAGCCAGCTTGAGAAGTCCATTTTCAGATTTCTGATTTGATCAGGGGAATGGCCCAGTGTTCTATCTATGCTTGCTATGCTTAATATGATCCTTGATGATGGGTTCGCAGGATTTCCAGGTCAGGAAAGCCAGCACCAATTCAGGGGTGTCTATATGAAATACACAGGGTCAAAATAAAGGGTTAAGATGGCAGCCAGGATCAGTGGTGGGTTTCACTTACCTTTGCTACTGGTTTGCTCGCACGTGTGTGCTCACTTTGCTCGCGCGCATGCCGCTTCTGCGGATGCGCAGAGCGTATTTGATGACATCCAGGAGGGTGGGCAGAACCTCCTGCCGCTGCTACTACCAGTTTGCCTGAACTGGGACGAACTGGTAGCAACCCACCACTGGCCAGGATGGTGCAATTGAAGCACTGCCTGTTTTTTTTTTAAGTGTGGATGCCCCTGCACCAATTGTTTTCTTTTGCATTGGCAGGTCTTTGAGAACATGTATATTTCAACTTATGTAACTCCCTCACTGTTGGTCACTTTGTACCTGACAACTTCCTTTGGGATTCATTCCCAAGTAGATCAATGAAAAGACAAGACTAGACAATTTTATCATCTCTCTGTCTCTTGAGCTAGAAGAAGCAACTGGCAGACGTCTTCTCAATTTCATCGGTGATAGAAAGAAGTCCATGATTCCACCACTGAAGGCATTTTTTTTAAAGCTTCAATGGTTGAGGCAGAGTCCTGCTGAACAAAATAGCTGTGGAGGGCAGTTCCCAGTTACTAAAGCTGAGAGGCCAAACAGTGCATTCCAGCCATTTGGATGAATGGCTGTAATGAAATAGAGCTACAGGTGCTTGTTCTGACAGAAGCCAGAAAACAGGACTTTTGATATCCAATAGGAAAAGATAGGAGGAAGTTGACTTTCCAGTGGATCCGGGACAATCAGAGAATGGATTATGGATGTTTGCTCTTGAGCAATAGCAAAAGTGAGCTGTACTGAACCTGAAGAATCTGGCAAGATGGGTCAGTTCTGAGGCTGAATAAAAAGAGAGAAAAAAAGTTGAAGAGGAGCCTTTATTAAAACGGAATGAGAAATCTCTATTCTTATCTTTTAGCTTTGCCACACCTACACCCTCTTTTGGCCATCTCCATTTCTACCAGTAGTGGGTTCCACTTACCTTCACTACCAGTTTGGAACTGTGAGCACTTGTGGCACTTCTGCACATGCGCAGAACCTTCTGCGCATGCGCAGAGCATCCGTGATGACATCTGGGTGGGCGGGCAGAGCCGCTCACTGCTGCCACTACCTCTTCTCCCAAACCAGGGCGAACCGGTAGCAACCCACCACTGATTTTCACCTGTTAGAAGAAATATCCTTCTGGGTTCAGCTCCAAGTGGGGAAAAAGACACTGGAAACATGGAGACTGCTTGGAAAGATGGTTTAATGGTGGACAGGATCACATGGTTTGAGTTCCTGAACAGAAAAGGGGCAAGATACAGCGAGTCCCCTGGTTTTATGCTCTCTCTGACTTTGAACTTCCTGGGGCCCCAAAGAAGTATCCGGATTGATTGTCAGACTCCCAGGGGGTGGGAGTCTTAGCTAGCCTTGCTGGCTGATGTAATCTTCCCAGATGCCATGTGGTGAGTTTCTGTCCTAGATGGGTTCCATTGTGTTAGTTTCTGTTGCTATTGTGTTACAGATGATGGTCCATTGACAAAGATTGAGTTTCTGCCTCTGGCCCATTGACAAAAGTGGGGAGGCAGGAAGGTGGGAGCTGCTTTGTCTTTAAAACATGCTTCTCCATTTCTCATGCAGGGAAACATAATATTCTGCCTTTTTAATATTTCCTAAAATATTTCATTCTTTCAAGAAAGGGGTGGGTGCTAACTTCCTACAATCCACTTCCTACACATCCTTATCCCAAACATGTGCAGCTCTTAGGATATTTCATAGGTTTCACCTGTGGCTCTCAAGGATGAGCACTTTGCACATTCTTGCTTTTCTCCTCTTATTCCTGATCATAATCTCCCCCCTCCCCCACTCTTGAAGAACAGAATAAAAGTCTCTGGGAAGCATAGAGGGGCATGAAGTGGTTCTTTTGTTTTTGCTTTTTCTGTCCTGCCTACGGCAGAATACTGACCCACAATGGGAAGAAATGCTGAGAACCAACTTTGCTATATAAAATAATAACTTTATTGTTAGGCATCGTGACTCATGATGAACCATAAACACAAAGCTAACAAGTGTTACCTATTTATGATGATCCCTAAACTTTGAGCTATTGAACTTTGAGATGTAGCCTCACTTCCTTATTTCTATGGGTTGGGGCTCTTAAACCCAGCCTGAGGATAGCATTCATTTGCATCCTGTTTTTCACTAAAGAAAGCATTTTGAAAGACGAAAATCTGATCCTCAGAATTTAGTTGTAATCTAAGCGCAATTATTTATACTTTACAGTTTGTTTTTCCATCACAAACAAGGGTCAATCAACATTTCAAAATATCTCACAACTGTACTCATTTTAATTTGAATGTATCCCTCTAACATTTGTGTGACTGTCCAAGAAAATCTGCGCCAGATAATAACAGGAATAAATTGTCCAAAGAATAGCAATTTCTTTAATCAAGGGAACATGATGATTAAATCAAAAGCTTTAGACAGGTCTTTTGATATCATCAATGTTCTTTTGTCTACTAATAATGACATATCGTTGATGAATTTTAAAAAGGCATTTACCATGGTGCACAATGTCTAAATCTAGATTGGAAAAAGGTCAGAACTGTATTTTTTGCAATTAAACCCATTAACTGTAGCGTAGATAGATTTTTCAAGTGATTTGGATTAAAATATATTAGTGGAATGTGAAAATACCTACCAAGAAAGATGCTATTTTTCAAAATAGAGAAATACAAGGACTCGGCAATTTTACCATAACCCCCCATTCTGAGTCTGTAATATTATAAGTGGAATAATCATAGCATAAATGAAATCATAAAAAGCAAAATAAGGTCATTCCATTCTACCTGCTTTTTTGAGTTATAGTTATAAAGGACAGCAATGGGCTCAGCTGAAGAAGCTGGACAGGAATGGTATATTTCTCATAGCTCTTCAAAGGAACATTGTGTCAGGGTTCCAAGTAACACCCCCAACTAAAGAAGACTCCGAGGCTTGAGTTTCCTCAAAGTTCATTTTTATTGAAGACATCATATTGGCCCATCTGAGAAAACCTAAATCTGAAAGTTTCCAGGTTTTCTCCACCCAAGTGAAAGGTCAAGTCCCTGCTCAGCACCCACATGTCCAATCATGGTCCAATCATCCAAACTGAAGACACCTCCCAGGCATCCAACTCCAGGTGCCAGGGCAAGGCGTCCCTGACTCTCTGAGAAAGGAATGTTATTTTGACTACATATCACCCATAGTTTATGCAATCCTCCCTCCCATTTTCCCACAGAAGAAAATGTGGCAGGCCTGAAGGCCCAAATGTAAAAGATGGCTTCCAGGTCTGACACCTTGCTTGTTATATTAACCCTAAACTTGAACTGTGAGATGGGTGACATATAAACGTAATAATAATAATATAATAATAATAAGAATGTGCTATGCATTCCATGTTTGCTGTCAGTTATCAAAAGAAGAATCACCTGCTGAATGTTTTTTTTGGAAAGTAGTTTGAAATGGGACCTCTGTAGCCAAACATCAAAAGCTGCCTGGTAACATGTATGTATGTATGTATGTATGTATGTATGTATGTATGTATGTATGTATTTATTTAATATTGCCGCCTATTCGCACATGGTGACTCAAGGCGGCTTACAGAATATAAAACCATATATAAAAACAATAAAACTAATAAAAGAAGAGTCATATAATACATTAATATAATAAAATCACCTCCCTACCTCCCGCTTTGGCGACAGCACCTCACATGAGCCATTTAATGGGCTCCATCCTGCATCCTTTAAAAAAAAAAAACAATTTTGTTTAAAAGATATTTGGCTTTGCAACTGCAATTTACTTCATCAGATGTATAAAGTGGCTAAAGTGATGTGGGATTTGAACTGAGGTGGAGGGAGGGGAAAGGGAGGGGAAGACAGATTGGTTATGCAGGAGCAGGTGACATATGAGACAGATTACCAGTACCTTCTCAATTAAGTGCTATACTCTGTTAAAAAGCTATTTGCATATTGAGACCTTCCAAGATTGCCTGAAACCTTTTGATTTATACTAGTTCAGTAACCTCTTATTCTGTGGTAAAGTTTAAGGTTCGTTGTTCCAAAATAGTTACTTTGAGGTATGCCCTGGAGCGTCTTGGGAAGTTTAAATATTCTCATACTTGGTCCATGTTTGAATCCTAATATCAGATTTATGTCCATTAATTCTTTTGTGCAAAGTTGTCCTATTTGACTTCTTGACCTCAA